CAGAACTAAGGTGAGTTAGTTACCAATTATATTTACTGTGCTTATTCCAAACAGAACTAAGGTGAGTTAGTTACCGATTATATTTTTCATGCTTATTCCAAACAGAATTAAGGTGAGCCAGTTACGGATTATGTTTACCGTTATTATTTCAAACAGAACTAAGGTGAGTTAATTACCGATTATATTTATCGTGATTATTTCAAACAGAACTAAGGTGAGCTAATTACCGATTATATCTATCGTGCTTATTTCAAACAGAACTAAGGTGAGCTAATTACCGATTATATTTACTGTGCTTATTCCAAACAGAACTAAGGCTATTTGTGCTCTGCCCACCACGGGTATCGAAACCTGGATTTTAGCGTTGTGAGTCCGCAGACATACCGCTGTGCCACTGGGGGGCTACCCACTATAAATAATTCAATCTATACAACCTTACTTTACACACTATAATTAAGTCAACGTGTACGAGCTTACATTACATACTATAAATAAGTATTATAGTCCCTGCTCTCTGTTGGATATTATAAGCTAAAGGAAATAGCATCTTTAACGTACTAGTTAATGATGAGCTTCTAGAGCACTGACAGAGTACTGAATGTTTGCTCATATTTTAGGGTTAATGAAGTTTTTCTTCCTTTTTTTTTAAACCAGAAAACAAATGAGACTGCACTTCACCTTGCGGCAGATTCCGGACACGCTAAGGTTGTTAGGGACTTGCTGAAGGCGGGAGCCTCTCCGTCAGAAGAAAACGCTGTTAGTGTTTTAAAATAAACAAAGTTATATAAAAAATATTTTATTAATTGGTACATTTATGATGTCGTTTTAAAAGCAAACCAAATTATATATGTTTTATTATTATAATTATTGGAAGAACTGTTTTAATTGTTGTTTAAAAAAGGTGAATTTTGCGTAATTGTTACAGGAGATTTCCGTCTCTGATATATCAGTTATTGTATGTGAAAGTGTTATGTAATAATATGTATGTTTAATCATATGTGTTGGTTAAGTAACATAACTACGTAGTAATAACGATAAAACAAGATAACAAATGTCGAACTATTTGCTGTTGCGTATTCCTTGGATGTCACCGTACATTTAAGGTTGCGCACCGGCTTGTGACGTACAAACGTTGATAGAGTACTCACCCATTCCTCCACGTATGTATGAGTTTAGAAATAGAGAGAAATAACAAGGGAGTGATAAAAACAACGAAACTTAGAGATAATTAATATGTCACTGGAATAAAACTGTCATTGTAATATTTAGGTCTATAAAATGGAACGTTTGTATGCATATATTTCAAACAATTTTATAATAATAATAGTCTAAGATACCTTTTCATATTTCGGGGTCTCCAGTAATTCTCTCTATGGGCTTGGTGGAGAGAGGGACAATGTTGAAAAGTATTGGCGATGCCTCTTCAACAAGGTATTTTTTAATTTTGTACCTATGAACCCGTAAATCTATCTTGAAACAACCAGGAGTGAAATGTTTCTCTCACATAACACTGCTATTACCAAAAAGAAAGATGTTCACAATGTGTCTGTTTTCTAGGTTATGCAGACATTTATTTCTTACCTCCATTTTTTCTTGGATTTCTCTTGGGGTCTGACGGAGGTTTGGGGACTTGGTAAAAATATGATTCTTGTTATCACGCTTGTTGTTAGTAAAAATGTAGACCTAACACTCGGCTATGTTTCTTAGTAGGTGTTTGGCTGTGAACTAATGTGGTCTGTACAAGGACAAAGGTCATATGTAGAAGCACCCCAAATCTACCGACAATGGAATTCATCGGAAATCACAGAATTTATGGGCTCTCGTGAAGTAGCTAATAATCTATGTTTTTTTATTATTTAAAAAAAAAGCACTGTTGAAAAGAAGTAGGAAATAAAAATTTTCCAAATGCTGGTTATTGTTGATATTTGATACATTTCATCATCCTACCCTTGGAAACATGATGTGCAGGGTTTTTTTCGATTTTCGGTGTTTATTTCTTGCAGATGTGTCTTTCTTTAAAGCTGTAATGAACAATAACTAAGCCATCTCCATTCTTTATCTAAGGTACTGTTGTATCGTAATAGTGAAAGGCATTAAAGTATTTTTGCTACATAGTTTAAACAAGATTTGTTTTGAGTAACGACTGTTTAACAAAGCGTAAAATTTCTGCGCGGAGATTCTCGCGTCTTAAACTAATAAAAATGAATAAAACTTCGGCGGTTTTGTTTAATACAGGCCTAATTAGCATGCTTAAACGTGAATTAGGTGTTCTTAATGTGCGCCATCAATCAAATACTACAATTAACAATTTTTCTTGAGTTTAATTAAGAATGCGAATCTTTCAAATTTGTTAAAAGAAGGTATATCTACACAAAAACAACTGTAATGATGGCCTCTACTAATCTACTTCAATCGCTACTCTAGATTATATATATATAGAGAGAGAGAGTAAAATACTATAAACAGATAAATACACTGTGATAGACGTCGACTCTTTCTATTTGACTTTTCATCTATGTATGTGAAAACTAAAATGAAAAGCTGAATAATGGAGTTCAATACAAGATAAGAATGAAAAATTGATGTAGGTGTAGATATAAAGAAGAGAGAGAGATGATTTATGTAACATAGACAAGTTAAGTCAGTTCGCTACAGTTTTTGTGAGAAAAGGGACTGCTAAGAAGGGGGGGGGGTGACCCAAGCAGTGTGGGCTTTGATTGCTTGTTTGTTTGCTAGCTTATGGCAAAACTATTAAGGGCGTCTACTGTCTTACCTAATTTTGAACGACTGGCTAGAGGGAAGGCAAGCGGCTATTCTAACAAAGAATAGTGGGGTTGACCATCACGTTATAATGCCCTCACGTAATATAGGCTTAACAGTGTTGTCTATAGGCTACTGGTATTCATTCCCAGGCTAAAAATACAATAGTTAAGACTAGTGTAGGAGTTAAGCGTTCACAGTTTGTTAGGTGTGTTGGGTGCAACGAATGGTTTTTATTTGGAAACTCAGGACTGTTATGTACTTTTAAGGAAGCTAGCAGAGAAGATGTGCAAATTGTTTGTAGAGTTTGCGGGTTGGAAGCTATCATAATTAAAGTAGAAGCAATAGATAAAGAGAAGTGTAAATTGAGGGAAATGGAAGCAGGATTTCAAGAAGAATTTAAGCTTTTACATACAAGGAATACATCAGCTAATAATGACTTTTCTTGTGCAGATGAGGAACTATTGGAAGGAAAGCAAGCAAAAGGGACAGAGAAGAATGTAAATGATAATTTAAGAAGGTAATAGTTATTGGTTATTATTTGTTAAGGCCTATAGCTAGGATAGTAAACGGGGAGAAAATAATTAGTATATGCTACTCAGGGGCACGGGTGGAGGATATAACTGACAGAGAAAGAGATATAATAAAGGGGGCTAGCAATGATGCAGTTTTTGTTGTGCACATAGGGCTAATGATGTAGAGGGGTTGATAAAGCATTTAAAGAAAAAGGCCATAACATAATTTTGTCAGGGATACAGCCGAGAATTAATTGTGGGGATAAAAATATAAGTAGGTTACTAGGGCTTAGATTAGTATGTAAGGATGAGCAGATTGGCTGGTTGGACTTGTGAGATCAGTTTAATGGGAAAAGGGAGCTTTTTTGAATGGATGTTTTACATTTAAATAAGGTAGGGATTAGATTGTTTGTTAAGGCTATTACCTCAGCTGTAAGGGAAGTTTTAAAATAGGACTAGACAGTGGTGAGGGCCAGGATAAACTAAATACAAAAAAATAAGATTTAGAGAAAAGTTTAGCATGGGAAATGAGTATAGAAGTAGTTATAAGGATAGGTTTAATTGTTATTATTGTAATGTTAGAAGAATAAGATATAGAATAGATTACTTCAATTTAAAGTGCTGTTAGGAATGGAGGATTTTGATATAATAGGAATAACTGAAACATGATTAAATGTAGATGATTTTGATGACAGAAACTTCTTTGAAATAAAGGATTACAGACTATTTAAGAGAGATAGAGAACTAAAGAGAGGGGAGGAGTGGCTTTATATGTAAAATGTGAGTTACATCCTGTTGAAGTTGAGGATATCAAAGATAATAGCAGGGAGATTGAATCCATTTGGGTTTCTATTAGTGGATATAAAGGGAAAACACTTTTAGTGTGAATTTCTTACAGGCCGCCAGTGAGATTAAAATTTCAGCCGTTAATGAGGTCATAATTATAGGTGATTTTAATTTTAGGCATATAGATTGGCTTTTGTAAACTGTTTAAGATGGTCTTCTTCACCAATTGGTCAAGGAACCTATTAGAAACAACGCTATTCTAGATTTATTATTAACTTATAATATAGAAGTAGTTGAGAGGAAGGAAACTGGGAAACATATGGGTTCAAGTGATCATTGCTGTATAAGGTTCGATGTTTTGCTGCATATAGAGATTAGGAATAATGATATTTTGGCTACAAATTTAAAAAAAAACAAATTTTGAAGGGATGCGACAAGAAATATATGTTGTGAATTGGGCAGCTGAGTTATTTGAATAGTGGCCAAATGTGGAATTTTTTTTAAATATTCAAGATAAACATATTCCTTAGAGAAAGAAAGTGGTGATTACAAATAAAAAAATCAGGTTGGCTCACAAAGGGTATAAAGGACAAAATTAAAGAAAAGCATCACAAATATAAGAAATTTAAATTTAATCGTTTAACGGGAGATTTAGAAGATGATAAAAGATCAAGAAAGTTGATGAAACAGGAAATTAGGACATCCAAAGGATGTGTGAAAAACTTTTGGCTGAAAATGTAAAAATTAACAGTAATGATTTCTTTAAATACATTAAGGGTAAACAAAATGTTAGGACGGGGTAGGATCTTTGAGGGATGATAAAGGAAGGCTCGCTTTTCCTTCAGTTTATACTAATGAAGATTTAAGCAACATTCCTCTTTTGAACAGTTGGTAAATGGAAAAAAGATCGAAAATATTATCACATTAATTCTGAGCTTGTTAAGAAAAAATTGAATAGTTTAAAGAATGATAAGGCTTCTGGGTCAGATAATATTTCTTCAAGAGTTTCGAAGGAGGTTAAGGATTGGATATGTGAACCACTCACTACTATTTTTTTTTAAATCTTTGAATAGTGGTCAGGTATCAAAGGATTGGAAGTTAGCTAATATAACTCCTCTTTTTAAGGGAGGTGATAAAAATTGTCCCAGTAATTATAGACCCATTAGTTTTAGATTAGTTGTGGGAAAAAGTTTGGAAAGTCTGTTAAAAGATGCTTTGCAAAGTCATTTAACAAAGTTTATAATTTTATTGGATAGTCAACATGGTTTCACTAAGGGAAAATCTTGCCTTGCGAATCTTTTGACATTCTTTGAAAAGGTTACTGCTTATTTAGATGAGGGTAAGGGTAGCGATTTGACATATCTGGATTTTCAGAAAGCCTTTAACAAGGTGCCACATAAAAGCTTCTAAGAAATGTATCTGATAAGTTAGCTAATTGGATAGAAAAGTGGCTGGATGGAAGAAAGCGGAGGGTTGTTATAAATGAAGTTCAGTCAAACTGGACCAATGTCACAAGTAGGGTTTCTCAGGACTCAGTCTTAGGAACTTTGCTCTTTTCGATTTACATCACTGATATGGATGAAGGAATGGTCCATAAATTACTTATATTTACTGATGATATGAATGTTTTGGGTGTTGCTGGCTGCCAGGAGGATGCTGCTGCTTGACAAAAGGATTTAGATCATTTAGTGAGTTAGGCAAGTAAATGGCAGGGGTGTTTTGATTATAATAAACGCATTATGTTATGTTATATATTATGTTCGGCACTGAGATTCCATCCCGCGACCCACGAGTTGCGTGTTCCACGTCAGACTATTGTGTATAATTACTGGAATATTATATATAATGGAAAGCTAATATTTGGCAGACACACACAAGAAAACATAATTTAATCGTTTATAAACCAAGTTATCATACCTTAATGTGTATTCTTTATTAAAGAATTGTACAGAATTATTTGAATTTACGGGTAAATTACATTTCTCTATTTTTGCTTTAATTTTACTCTGCAAAAAATTCTTAATATATTAAATTGAATGTATTTTATTGACAAATTGTTTGATATGGCTATCTCTACTTGAATGATATTTTTACAATAACCGAATATTATTGAAAATAATAGTCATAGAAAATGCTGCACATAATCGATCAAAATTGATAAATTTCTCCGCAGATATCAATTTAACATTTCGGAATATTTTTACGTGCTTTCCGCAGATTTGGACTACCTCTAGTCATGGGATTCAATAAATAGCATGATTACAGAGGTGTGTTCAATTAGGCCAGTCATATACGCGGCTTTTTCTGTACGTTTATACGTCACAGCTGTCAAAGTTTAGAGGAGCATTGTGGCTTCTATAATCCATCATAATAAGAAAGAAAATATTTATATTTAATTGTAGAATCTTGTTAAACTAGTTTAGATACATTGTTTTAATACTTTGATATCCATTCATAATCCTTTACTTGCTGTTGTGTTAGCCTCGAGTTCTCTTTTAAAGTTGCAACCAGTTTTTGTGTTCTTGTGTAATATAAATTAATAGTGCTATTTTCATAGGATGGAAATACTGCACTTCACTTGGCAGCCAAACAAGGCCATCTGGGAGTACTGGAAGAATTAAAGACAGCAGTGAATTGGAAAATTAAAAGCAAAAAGGCAAGTGCATGTAAGAAAAAAGCATCATATTTGATAATATGAGCTTGAAAGCATACGCAACGATGATATTATATATTTAATCATTTATTGAGCCTGTAAGAGTTGGCATAGTACCTCAACCATCTTGTGCTTTTCGTTGTGCTGTACCTGACATTGATAGGTGAAAATCTCGAGAATCCACTTTTTACTGTTTTGCAGAAATTGTCAATATTCAATAACGAAATTAATAACTGGGCACTGTTCGCTTTATACAATACTGTTAAATTAGTATATTTATTTATAAACAGGTTATGTTAAAGAATATCGTACACCTGCACTGAAAGTAGTATGAGAAGAATAGATTGTTAGAGATAAGAAACTAAGATTTACCAATATAAGAATATACCCATATTAGAATTAACAATATGTAAGAACCATTCTAGTTATACATCCATATGAGAATTAACCCTATTCAGCATCCGATTATAGTGCTACACCCATATAAGTATTAACTATATTCAACATCCGATTCTAATACTACAGTCATATAAGAATCAACCCTATTTAACATCCGATTTTTCTAGAAATACAGTCATATAAGAATTAACCCTAGCGACATTAGATTGTACGTGATAATATACAGTTTATTATGGGAACCAGGTTCGCTTCCAATTTCGTTAGAGAATAATATTTTTGTATCGATTTTCTAAATTTTTGTGTAATGAGTTCTGATTTTAAAAAATGATAAGCTTCTATTTACTCTCGCTTACCTTTAAATGTGACTGTTCTACTAGATGGTAAATGTATCCACTATGTGAAAATATTATTGCGTATTTTAACGTTCAAGTATTGTATTGAAAGGTGCTGACTTATTTTGAGTCCCTTGATAAACTAACTCTAGTTATTTGGATTATTCCTTATCATGATAACTATTACTAAACCAATTTACTTGGCTTGTTCCTTATCTTGATGAGTTATAGTCTTAAATATTTGTTTATCTTTATTCTGATTTAATAACCATAATTATTTTAATTTTCTCAGCTTAATAAAGTAGCCATAATTGATTCGTTCTTGATCTTGTTGGGGGATCTTTGATTAGTTATCTTTTACATAGACTGGCCTCACGGCACTTCATGTCGCTGCTATTCATGGACGAAGTGACTTTGTACGAGAGATGCTGACTCAAGTTCCTGCCGCCATCTTAAGCGACCCTCCTTCTGAAGAAAACAGTGCTTTAGATGACGTGAGTATTTTAGTACCTAATTATGATACCTTGGATTAAGTAGCACTTTTTGAGTGCGACGTTTCTATCAAAACTCCTAAAAATAGATAAAAAAGAGGACTATATTTGGGTTAAAACTAATTTATTCTTTTTTTAAATGCGTGCATGAAATTGATTGTTAGCTGTTCCACTTGGTACTTAGTAAATGGTTTTCACATTTTGAGATCAGTTAACTTTTAACTTTAATTAATAAGTCTTCTTTCCTCCCAACTTCTTACGTTGTAAACTGTAAACTAAACAACCATCAGTAATTTAATTCAGATTGGCAACCAAAGAAACATATTAGCTTTGATACTTTTGAATTTTACGAACTAAAAAGAGCAGTTAGCACCCGAAAAATGTATTTCTGTTACGGTTAAAATGTGAAAAAGTAGCAAAAATAATAGTTATTCAAACCATGTTTTACTGAGCAAGTAAAATGGAAGTTTTGAGTTTTATACGTTGCTTTTTCTAGGATGGCTATACACCGCTTCATTTGGCAGCGCAATTTGGAAGAGAGAATGTAGTCCGCATGTTGTTGAACAGTGATGGAGTGCGCACTGATACTCCAACCACTACAAAGGTAAATTGTTTGAAACAAAGCAAATATTAGCATGCATTAATTGTTGTTACAACCTTACTCATCACTCTAAGCCACAGTCATAGTTAAACATCATTGCAGTGCCATACAAGGCTAAACTGTTAAAACGCGTGGAGACATAATTAAATACAAGTGAAATAGACATATACTAATTAAATCACATTAAATTGGACATCATTAGTAGAAGAACCTTGACGAGATTATTGGAGGGAGAGGGCCTGTACCAAAGTGTTATGAAGCTAGATGTAAGGAATGTGGGTTGAAGTTGAGAGAGGTGAGAAAGCAACTGGCGTTTGTCCAGTCTCTAAAGAATAAAAGGGTTACAGTATTTTAAGTCATTAGAAGTTGATTAAAGTGAGCGGCCACCTTTCTAAGTTCAGTCGGTTTGGAGGCTACCAGGCTCTTTATGATTATGAAACTTATAATGCGATATACGGGGGACAGTTGCAAGGTCACAAAAAAAGGGGCCGATTCGATGTTGGTTTGAGAAAAGAATCTAAAAGACAGGAGTTCAACGAAAAAAAAAAAGACAGAGAGATGTGAGAAAGAATGAATAAACTGAGAGAGGCGAAGGAAGAAAGTAATATGCTGTTAACAAGAAATAAAACTTATTTCTTATTGTATGTGTTATTGATTACCAGTAAAAAAACAGCAGTTTCTTATGCTTAAATTGGTATGAGTCAAATGCTGATAGGAATATACAACCTAAATAAAATTGATGGACATAAGAAGGGGAATACTAAGTGGAAGTATAGCACCATCACAATGCAAAGCCGAAACCAAAGCGTACAATAGCAGTAGAGGTAGAATTAATATAGTATTTATATTAATTGCTAATTTATATTAATGCTAAATTTATAGTATTTACATTGGGTGCATGGTGTTCAAAACGATAATAATAAAGAGAAGATATAAAATAATATATAATAATAAAGTAAAAACTAAGTATGGTTACTGCCATAGGAAGATGGTAAGGAATTAACGACAGCGCCACATTGGCTAAACTACGCACTGCCAAACGTGTGCGGTGGGACTCCAAAATTGGGGGGAGGAGAGTCTGTGCTTTTGCTAATGGCGAACTCCTTTAGGATGTAGATCAAATAAAAAATGTGTATATGTACAACAATATAAAATTCGTCACAATGCCAATTACAGCTGGGTCAAAGTGCACATACTAAGCCATTTTACAGAGTTATAATCAAAATTTAATGAAAGAACTTTATCATAAATGTATATCAATAAACTTTGAATCAAAAACATAGTTTGTAATTCAAATTTTAATACAAGTTTTAATTTCTTAATTTCAAAAGGAAGTATTTAAATAAATTCTCAGTCTTCACTTCTCTGTGTCACGTGACACCTGCTCACTCTAAATTGCCCATTTTAGATTTTTAGATTTTCTTTCCACCCCTTTATTATTTTTTAAGTATCCGAGGAATTACACACACAAGTTAAATATCTCCGAACTACAAAGTAAATTTATAGCCTCTAAGTTTTTTGCTTTACGAGATATAAACCAGGAAGTCAAACCCACATGCGACGCCATGTTATATCTCCATAGACGGAGAAAGCAAAAGTTACCTGGAGGCTAAAATGCATGTAAGAATTGAAAATGATAATTCTGTAGGGATCAGGTGGTATGATCATTAAAAAATGTAGAATTTATAGACGTCAAATGGAGCAGTTTCTAAAACATATGCCCCCCAGTGGCACAGCGGTATGTCTGCGGACTTACAACGCTAGAAACCGGGTTTCGATACCCGTGGTGGGCAGAGCACAGATAGCCCATTGTGTAGCTTTGTGCATAAATTCAAAACAAACAAAACAAACTAAAACATATATTTGTAGAGTATGGCAGAATTGAAATTATTAACAAGTCTACCTGCCTCCACCAGGCGTTGATCTGAAGGGGCTAAAGCCCCTTTGCCCTACTGGTTTATGCCCTGTAAATTTATTTTTTAGCTACCGTCTGTTAACCATGAAGTTAAATTGTACTATGTGTGAGCACGAGGTGAGAACTGGTTCTATTTGTGTGTGTATGTGTGGTCATTATATATATATATATACATTTGCTGTATAGTGACCAGTAGTTTAAAAATATTTCATGTATCGCACTCGTCATCACATAAATCTGTCTTGTTAGATTTAACATGATTATCAACAATACACTTACATTAGAAAAATACGTTTTTTACGTATATATACTAATTTGTAAGAAATTATTTCCAAATCTCTTGAAACTTGTATATTTTTTAACTATCGATTAACTGTAAATCTTCTGAATAACAGCCCTAAACTTGTTTTAAGTAATACTCTGTAATCAATGGAGTATATATATACATGTATATATACGTGTTTGCTATATTCATGTTTGACGTGGAAGAAAATAATACATTAATAGGTGATTTACCACAATGTTGTGGTTAATCTATACATATCTGTTGCACAACTGGATCATATTGTGGTATTCTCAGATAAAGATTTCCGCACAAGTATTAGATAGGTTTTCTTAAACAGAAGGATCAAGCATGAAATCTGAGGTAATCTGTGTCTGAAAACTTTACTGAGGTTTAAGCTTGTGTGAGAAAATAAGGAGACTGGGCAGGTTTATCAGAAATTGGTCATCATTTTTATATGTATACAAAAGCGAAAATATAACAGATATGTACACAATCGCTTCTACAGATGTAGCAGCAGTCAGTTTTGTTCTCTTGAGACTGAATTCTGTCGAGCCAAACATTAGGATCGCAAACGAAAAAGTGAGAAAACGTAAATGATTCGATCTTGGAAGAAAGTTCCTATCCTTTCTCTTGAGAGAGCATCACTGGTCACTCTCTAACAACATTCGTCCGCTGTAAAATATAAATGTCATCTACTCGGCCAATAAAGAACGTTGCCGTCGCTGACCCTTCTAACACTTTAGCAAAGAATGATGCAGGATTCTCTCGAGCAAAGTAGATATTATCTGCTGTAGATAACAAATACACAAAGGCAAACTTAGGGGTTTTCTGGACCGCGTGTTTATGCTAAAGCAGCTTAGTAACTTATCTAAGGTTTTAAAAGATTCTTATATTACTAAAAACGAGTTGAAAGCACATGTATGCATATCATAGTATAATAAAAATATATATATAATTAAAAACTTACTAGGGCAAAGTCAGGCTCGCCCACAGTGGGGTGGATGGCAAAGGGGCAACTGCTGTAAAATGCCGTAAAGCCCGCAAATCACTTTTATGCTATATCTTCATTTAATCACAAAAAGCATAGTTTTGGGCTTTTCTTTGCATATAGACGCTCGATACATTAAGAACGACTGAAATAATAATTTGAGTAATAATTAATATGTATTTGTTACTTTATAGATTTAATAGATATTTGTTGTTACTTTGTTAACGTTTTTACGCTTATACTGTGAGCTAGAAACGGCTGCTGCTGGTTTGTGAGTTCGTTGCTGTCCTAATTTAGAATCTTCTTTTTGATAAGTTCTTTAAAATGTTAAAAAAGATAAGAAAGGGGGCCCGGCGAAGATGTTTGTCCAGGGGCCCGTGCTAGCTCTCGACGCTCCTGGACAAAGTAAATGGAAAGGATTCTTCTAAAGTTCCAAAGACATGGTTATCTTGCAATGTCGTGGTTATATTGCAATTTCCAAAAAGAAAAAACAAAAGTCGTTAGAAGAAAACTTACAATCACCATAGTTTAGACTAAAGTATTAAAGTATATTTATTTCTATCTTGCCTGTCTCTACTGGGAATAAATGGAAACAAAAATCAATATGGCATGGTCTAGAGAAACAGACTAGGCTACGTCATTTGATCAGATTTCTCAGCGTGAAAAATAAACTTCTTACGGCGAGAATTCTATAATCGAGGAATTCAGCCGTAATGCTAATGACGAACCACATATCATGTTATGTCTTCTCTCTGTTCTTAAACAAGTGTTGTTGTATTGTGGAAAATACTCCCATTGTTTCTCTTCTTGCAAGTGTAATACATCACGTTGCACAGCTGTCGAGTAACACTGTTCGAGCACGCTCTTATTCTTTGACTTGGAACATTTTTCTTTTAATATAGTTTGTCACGTACGAGCGACGTATTGTATCGATAATAAAGAACCACCATGTAATGCGTCATCGTGTCACAGCTAACGTTGTGATATACATATAGTCAGAATAAAATTAGTTAGATTTATGGGAATAGTTGGCAAACTTCGTACATTCAGTATGTTTCACATTCACCTTTTAGTTATTAATACTCTATAACTCTGTCTATCGTTTTTTTTCACCCCCACCTTTTCACATAATTCACGATTCCTATTTAAATAGTTATTTTATACTCTATCTCTCTGTCTGTTGTATTTTACTCACTCTCTACTTTTTCACATGACTTATGCTTCCAATAAATACTTGTTATATATTCTACCTGTCTGTGTGTCTGTTGCGTTTGTTTTTTTTCTTTTACCCATTTCTCACTCTTCACATAACTTCCACTTCCATTGCACTCTGTTTATTGGCCCGCTTAATATTGAGTGCTTATTTGTCAACAATTATAACTCTAGTTTATTTATCGACATGTTTCATACCAGATGTGTAATTACTGGCCTGCAGTTTATTTACCGGCTTGTTTCATACCAGATGTTTAACTACTGGCCTGTACTTTATTTATCGGCTTGTTTCACACCAGATGTTTAATTACTGGTCTGTACTTTATTTATCGGCTTGTTTCACACCAGATGTTTAACTACTGGCCTGTACTTTATTTATCGGCTTGTTTCACACCAGATGTTTAATTACTGGTCTGTAGTTTATTTATCGGCTTGTTTCATACCAGATGTTTAACTACTGGCCTGTACTTTATTTATCGGCTTGTTTCATACCAGATGTTTAACTACTGGCCTGTACTTTATTTTTCGGCTTGTTTCATACCAGATGTTTAATTACTTGCCTGTAGTTTATTTATCGGCGTGTTTCATACCAGATGTTTAAT